ATACAGGTCTATTGTTTGCAACAAAAGTTTCACTGGGAAGGTGTCTCAAGTCCAGGATGGAATTTCTGGTCAAAATGAGACACTCCAATTTCCCAGACTAGTCAGTAGTGCAGTGATTAGGGTACTTGTATGGGATACCCAGGTCCAAGTCCTTGCTCCAGCCCTCGATATTGGCTATTCTGGGGTAGGTATGGTATGGCTCTAAAAATTTCTGAAAAGTCTTGGTTTTGTACCACGTCAGAAGAGAACAAAATTTGTAAAAATAAAATTCCACCATTGACCAGCTTTGGGTAATACCCAGCATCGCCTAAAAAATTAACTAGGATTTCCAACAACTATATACAGTTCACGCATTGGTTTCAGGCCTGATGTACACTTAAAACTTTTCCTGGTGTAAGGCTGACAGGAGGAATCAATCTAGGACCTTTGGAGCTTAGTGCATGAGCCTCTACCACATGAGCTAAAAGCCAACTGGGTGGTGGCTAAGGCTGTAAAACATACTCATTATTCTGTCCATAAGAGGCCTCCGTGCCATTAGATGGGAACAGTAGACAACACCCAGCAACTGTGCGAGTTTTACTGGCATAGCTGCATCCATTAGGAGTGTGACCAAAAGTAACCCAACAACAAAAACACACCATGCCTCTAACTGGCATGACTCTGCCAGCAAAAGCCTCAGTGCATACTGACAGTTATATTCCTTTTGTTGACATAGTTTATTTTGTCACGATAATCTGCATCTCCACTACTAATATATTTATAACAGCAAACCTTTCTGCCTATATGGCTTGGTTTGATTGAGTGAACTGCACGGTAAAGCCGAAGTGCTTTTATTCATTCTGTCTCTAAAGCAAGAAAGAGATAAACAGCATAAAGAAGTTAAGAGATTATATGTAAATGTCATATATCTCTGTTTAAAGAGAAGCTGAGGGCAGACTGGATTCAGCAATTAGTTATTTGTCTTGACCAATATATTCCTTTTTTTTTCTGTTTGAAAGTTATCCATGAACACAGTTGGATATACTGCCTGCTAATTGAAATTATTCTGTAACTGGTTCCTGCAAATATACTTTAGCCCTTGGGTTGAGCCCACTAGTTATCAGATTATTGCTTGGAGTACTCCTTCTTTATCACTTGCTAGGTTCATGGTGTGCTTTGACACCTACATTATGTGGTGATGTTTTAGTTCCCACGTAGAGAGTTCTTTATGAAATCTTGACCCCACTGAAATCAGTGGGAGGTTTTTCTATGTACTTCCACGAAGTTAGGATTTGACCCTGGTGCACATTCATATGCAAATATAGAATCACATAAGTATTGGTGTCACTTTCTCGTTCCCCAAGCATTTTTACAAAACTTCTGATGAATGTTTGTAGCAACTGAGCAAAAGATTACTCATATACCATTTAAACAAATATATGGTTCTTATTCAAACAAACTGTCACAATCAACATACTGAAGATTGGTAAAGGGTACCCACCAAGCAGTGTTCCCTTGACTTTTTCCCACACATGTGCAGAACAAATTTAGTTATGTGTACCAATATGGAGGTGATATGTCCACACATCACCTCCATATTGGTGCACATAACAAAATTCATGTGGCAGGGATGGAGCCAAGGGTTTGGAGTGTGGGAGGGGGCTCAGGGCTGGGGCAGAGAGTTGGAGTTCATGGGGGGTGAGGATTCCACCCAGGTGTGCAGGGGGTGATTGGTTTGGGCTGCAGGCTGCCCTGGGGCTACAGCAGCGAGGACTCCCCAGCTCTGCATCCGACCAGCAACACTTGGGCTGGAAGGGAAAGGTGCCTCTCTCAGGCATGGTAGCTCTGGTACTGGGACACATCTCCCACACTTGTGGCAGGCCTAGTCCCAGCACAGGGCTAGAGAGTCATGCAGGCTGGGGGGCTGCTCTAGCTGGTCTGGAGCGGTCCCCAGCATAGATCCTGCTTTGGTCAGTTAACCAGTTAAATGTCAGATTAACACAACGTTTAACTGGTTAACTGGAATTTTACATCCCTAATAAGTACTCCGCTTCCCTCAGAGGTGGCAGCTATGTCAACTTTAGAAGCCCTCCCAACAACATAGCACTCTCTACACCAGGGATTAGGTCGGTGCAACAGTGAGAGACATTTTTATGCTGGCACAAGTTTGTAGTGTAGACCAGTGCTTGGTAAGATCAATAAGTATTAGTTTAAATGGTAATATGAGTAAGATCAATAAGTTTGTAGTGTAGACCAGTGCTTGTAGGAGCCCATCCGTCTTGTAGGAAGTCGAAAGGGATTTTTTTGCTGACCGTGGTTTTCTTCCCCCAGACTGGCTATATATTTTGCTTTCTGGTTTTACAGGTAAGTTTTCTTGTCCATCTTTGGCACAAAATGTTTTAGAAGTTTACATAATGTAGGTGATTGCCAAGTATTCTCAGACAAGGAAAGCAGCTGGACTGTCTCTAGTTCTGCAGTACATTGGACAAAAATGTGCTGTCATTATTAGAAAAGTGTTCCATTCAAGCGAATGGTAAATTTGTTCAAGAAAGCACAATGGAATGAGACCTTATGTTACTGTAGCCCTAAACCTGCAATCAAATGCATACAGTGCTCCTTATGTCTGCACAGACTTGAAGCGAATGGAAGCTCTGGACAAATGCAAAGGTATGCCTTAGATCCGTTCCTAACACTGAGGCCTTTGTAAGCACTAGTTAATTTCTCTGAAAATGCAAGATAGTGCCCGACAGTGTATTTTCAATCTATTGCTTCCTCCATTCAACTTAGAAAGGCCTCAAATGATGGAATTTCCAGCTCTTCTCCTGGAAGACAATGCATGACAATTTAAATTATTTTCTCTAGCCTTGGGAAAGTAAAATTGTTGAATTGCTCATGTAAGGGGCATCTACACAGTGCTCTTACCTCAAAATAAGCTATACAATTTACACTATGACAATTGTGTAGCCTATTTCCAGGTAATTTCAAAATAGCTTATTTCAAAATTTGGCACTGTCTACATACTGCCAAATTTTGAAATAAAGCGCTATTCCAACAAATCCCTTAACCCTCATAGAACAGGGGTTACAGAGACACCAGATTTGAGCGCCTGTTATTTTGAAATATATTTTTAAGTAACAGGAGCATTTAAAGATGCGGAATTGCTATTTTGCAATGATTCTGGTATCCTGAAATAGCCCCACTGTCTGAACGTAGCCATATAGACAGAGCCAGCAATTATTACGGTACAAGAAAATCAAGCAGAACTAAAGGAACAAAAAAGATATTTCATTCTTAATAGCAATCATATTTTTGTTGTTATTTTCAGTTTTTAATACAATACACTTATTATAATTTATTCATACTGGCTGGAATCTACTTCTGGCTATTTGGAGAGAGGGGAATATGATGTGATGTGATTAATTCCAATTAATAAAATCTTGTAAAATCTTAATATCAGTTTGTGATAATGCTTCAGGGGATGAACTATTTCATTATTCCTAAGCATGTCTTGTCTAGTCTTGAATATTTTCAGGGATATTGGTTACAAACTTTCCATGGCAGCAGATTCTATAGCTTAACTGCTTTGGTTAGGGATGGGTGAATTCCTGTGGAACTTGGTGTACTACACTAGTTTCTCAACCAGTTTTGTGGAGGTTCACCAACCAATCTGAATTTGCTATCCCTTTTTATTTTATCTTAAACTGATTGCACTTATCTATCCTCCCCCCAATGGCTGGAAGATTGTACTATGTGTTAGAGATAGAAGAACGCCCAAAAAACTAGCCTGCAATAACTTGTTGCCCATTATAAGGCATTCATTCTCTATTCTTCCTGTGGAAATTCTCCCCCGTCTTCAGTCTCTTGTGTTTTTAATCTGCCACTCAACTGCTCTTTTGTCCCTAGAGCCTCTCCAACACAAAATACAAACAAAGACTGAACCTTCTGTCCTATAACTTGTTCAGAAATTAGGCAAGGCAAGTTTGCCTATTCTTAATTCTCAACAGTGATGTTAAAGGCTTGCTGATTCAAGCCTTTAATATTTGTTTCCCTTCTGAAACTTAAGACAAACTTCCCTTGTTCTATCCTAACTGAAAATAATTGATCACTGTAATTCATGTATATTCCCTTAGTATGTAGTGACTGTACAAATAAAATTCTATTTAGCATCCCATGTTAGTTCAAAATATATACTTTTTGGAAGATATATTTCACATTACATTTGGAGTAAACATTCCTCACACCAAAAAAAAGATAGTGCTATCAAGATGTATTTTGAAATGAGATCAATTATCCAATTAAACATCAAGGCGCATCAGAGGGCTTGGTTTATGCTAATACCATATTTGGGGCAGCATGAGACATAAGAAACCACTGCCCCATAGAAACTCCTTGGCTGCTCTTATTAAATGTATTTCATTTTTACCCATAAGTTATTTAAGTCATTTACTTTGATTGCTGGAAATTGTCAATTAGGGGTTTAATGTTTTAACTCCAAGGTTCACAAAGAAGTACTTTACCACTTTGGAGTATTAAAGAACCCGACACAGGCTCAACTGCATTCTGTAACTTACAGAATATGACAGTGGATAAATGTTTTAGAATGTTTTGTTGGCAAGCTTCAGTCAGCATTGTTAACAAGGCTCAGTGGGTAAAGTCCCACACAAAGAATATTTCTGTTGCTATGAGCCAACATTATTTCTCCTTATAAATATATAGAAATACCTTCAAATACCTGACTACACAGTCTCCAAAAATGGCTCTTACCTTTGCAATTAACACCACCCTTTGCTTCTTGTTAGAGAAATCTTTCTTCTTCTTCTGTGTTTTTTTAAATGGCACAAGCTGTCAATGTGCAATTTACTGCTCTGATCAGTTCTGATCACATATTGTGTTTAACAAGAACAACTCAAGGACATCTCGCAAATTAATACTAAATATATCCTAAACACTTAAATCTGCTTCGAGGTTTAATGTCAAACCCTTGGAGATGTAATTATTCAATCTAAACAACAAAAAATTACCTTTGAATTAATTCCATGCTCCAGTGCAATGCAAGTCAAACAAACAAGTTCCAGTTCAAGGCATTGTTATTTGTGTGTTTGGGGTTTTTCTCCCCATCTGACTGAATGCTTAACCAAGGAGCTCACTTTCTCAGTTAAAATGTAGCACAGAGTTCACCTTTTGACAGAACATGTTAATATTTAACTTGGCCTGGTAGAATGGAGAATTCTCTCTGTGTTGGTAGAATCAATCCACACTGACTGGAAGAGCTAGTACTAACAATACGTTCACTTAGAGTAAGGCCAGAACTCTCCAGCATATCAGTGTGAGTGTTAAAATGAAGGCTGCTGGTTTTTCAATTTAAACTAAACACTACCCTGTCAGTCAGCTAAAAATCAAGCTTTGCTAATAAGTGCTGCTTTTTCTTGGCACACTTTTTAATCACATACTGCAAGCATTTATGTCCACATTGTAATCAGAGGTAGGAGAGCACTGCAGTTTGTTTAGAGACACCTGTGCTAGCACCACTAAAAATAGCAGTGTAGGCAAGGGCAGCACAGGCTTCAACAACACAATTAGGTGCACAAGGTCTCTAACATGTTTTTGTACAGCCTACGCCAAGGAATAAAAGTGAGAGATTCAGAGACAGCTACATGGAGAGCTATGGGGAGCCAACACAGAGTGGTGGACCCTTCATCTTCCCTCAGCCAGGCAGGGAGCAGCCTTCAGGCCCTCGCATCCCCCGAACTCTGGGCACATAGCAAGTCTACCACAGCCCCCCATAGCTGCCCAGTCTCCTCAGCTGGTCTCCATACTAGCCTAGTGGTGGGGCTGGACAAGAAGATAAGGGGAAGTGGCAAGGTCCATCCCAATGAAAAGTAGATGAGCCACGCCTCCCCCCACTTTCACAAAGTGGGATGCCCCTGACCTGTGCTGCCACATCTCCCCTGCAGTTTTTTGCTATGTTTGCATGGGTATATCTACCTGAGCTGCAATTCTACCTCAGACTGCAGAGTAGACATACCCCTTATTCAGTAGCTTCCACTTGTTGCTCACACAAGGAATGCTTAAAAAGGGGGTGCAGCTAATAGACTGAGGCAAAGTTTTCCTATTTCTGAAGCCTTCATTGAGATTGCCTGATGTTATGTCCCTCTTCTGCCAATCACCATTTCGAAAAACCTACATTTCATTATACTTTGTGTTCCGTCTTGCTGCTCTATGTCAGGCATAACCACCACTTTCCATCCAGCATGAATGCAAACAAGCCTTTGTAACCAGGTGGCTGAAACAGTTAAGCAGCTTGCACTGCAAATGCAGGCCCATTTCTTCTGCTTCTAGGGAATTTGAACTATGCAGGCAGGTTCTTGGCTGTATTGTGTGGGTGTGTAAGCAAGAAACAAGACAGCAAGAAAGAAGCAGTGAGAAAGCCAAGAAGAAAGGGACAAACACTGGCATTGTGGCACTGGAAAAAAGAAGAGAAAACTTTTCAGCACATACTAGAAGAGCAGGCTTGTTTCATTCCCCTGTGTTCAGGGAACCAGGACTTTATGTATAATCTTTGTAAATAAACAAGAGTGCATCAAAGGAAATGTCTATTAGATCCCATCAGTTTCTATCTCCTAACTGGAACAATCCACATGATTCCAAATTTAACTAACTGTCCAGCTTAAACAGGATAAACACTTTCCTCTCTCTTCCTCCTTGTTTCAATTAAGTGAAAACCTACTTTTGCTTCCACTAAAGTCAATAGAATATTTGTACTTCATTACAGGGAATAGGGTTAAGCTCCAAGTCACCAAACTTTAAACTACTCACATTATAAACAAATATTCAAGTAGCTTAAAAAAAATTCAACCAAGTTTTTATCTCTTTCGATAAACTATAAATTACAGAGCAGCCTCCAAAGGAAAGACCAATGATGAAAACCTATCAGTTGCTATTACTTCAGGTTAGATAAAAAGTCATTCTCCTTTCAGCTGTACCTGGTGCCCAGAAGAGAAGATGTTAAAAAATAAAACGAGAAAAAAAATCTAAACAAAAGCCTCCCAAATTTTAGCCCTGGTAGGTATCTGCAGTTAATCCTACCATGTAATTGAGGCTTCCAGCAGTGAGTAATGCAGTTTCCAGAAGGATTGGGTTAGAAAAGATGTTCCTGCCACTGATGAACCTTTAATAGGAAACTTAATACAGCATGTCTGCAATTAAAGGTGGATTTTATGTTAATCTGGCTATTTGCTTGATTTCTGGCCCTGTTTACAATGGATCTTGGAACCATGCTTGAAACCCATTTGGAATTTGGTTAGAGGCAAACATGGTTTATACACCATGTCCACACTATTCCTCATCAAACTTTATAACCATGAATTGTTCTTGCTCTGTTCAAGATTTAAGCTATTAAGCAGCTGTGACACAATAAATTTACTCTAAATCCTTCTTGCTACACTAAACAAATGTTCTAAATGCCCCTCTCTCCATTGCTAGCAACAGTTCAGTTCTGCTACTATTAGCCACATGATAATAAATGGGCCACCAACATTTTTAATGTTATTATGTAACCTTGCTCCTCTTGGACCGTACTTAGGGTGGGTACAGCTTACTTCACAAGCTGTGCCAATAAGACACTAGTTAGTTACTAACAGGACTTCTAGTACCACCTACTAAGGCTGCCCAACACTTCCCATTATAAAGACCCTCCTTTCAGCTGTGTATAACTTTTCCCTACTAACTATTTAGGCTGAAATTTTCCATGCTGGGTGTTTGTGACATCCTACTTTATTGTTATTTTGTTTAATTACAGCCAAAATAGCGCAGCTATTTCTGAGACTGAGGCAAAGGGGAAATACAATTCCTGGTGACCTGCTTGAACAACTGCATTTTAAATTTGCATGTGCCCATGAGAGACTTGTTAGCACTTAAGAGAGCAACTGGGCATGTTCCATCCCATCCCCTTACAGCTCTTAGTTCTGACAGGCTGCAGTTTTCCTGTCCCCTCACAACTCCTAGACAGCACATGCATCATCCCTGCAGATTAACAGAGCATGCTTCCTCTAGCTCAAGGTTGCCAGGGGCAAAGGTGGACTTTTCTGGTAATGGCTACTCTAGGCAAGGGTGGGGCTGGGCACCAGATCTAAGCACGGAGCCTGTCTTTCCTGTGCTCTGAGTGACTGCAGCCCTTGCTGGCATTGAGGCAGAGTGGAGGAGGTAATGATCTGAATCAAATGCAGCAGGAACAAGAGAGGAGTCTGGGAAAGTTCCTGGGACTGGAGACTGAGAGGGCTGGAGATTGTGAAGGAGACTAAGGCTGTGTCCAGACTCAGGGGTTTTTTCGGGAAAAGTAGCCTTTTTCCGAAAAAACTTCCCCTGCGTCCAGACTCAAGCCGCGTTCTTTCGAAATTAAATCGAAAGAACGCGGCTTTTCTTTCGATGGCGGTAAACCTCATTTCACGAGGAAGAACGCCTTCTTTCGAAAGTTCCTCTTTCGAAAGAAGGCGTTCTTCAATGTAAATAGGGCTTCTTAAAAAGAGAGCATCCAGACTCACTGGATGCTTTCTTTCGAAAAAGCAAACCGCTTTTTCGAAAGTTCAA